TGGAGTCGGATAAGGCGAAGCTTGAACTCCAGGTAAAGAACTTGGAGCTTCAACTCAAAGAAAACAGGAGGCAGCTCAGCAGCTCCTCAGGTAAAGTGAGGGCCACATGGTGCTTCTTTCCAACACCGCCGCTTCCTGCAGAGGAGCTGTTGCTAGTGAGATGTCCTTGGAAGGCTGTAGTGCTGCCCCTGACCAGGCCCATCTGCCTTTGGATCTCCCAACCACCGAATCAGATAAGGGCTAGTCATGACACAGGTCCTCCACACAGGGGCGTGCCTGGCATGCCCTCTTCTGGAGTGTTGGCAGCAATAGGAGACGTACGCGCACTGCCATGATGGGGGGCAGAGGTGGTCCCTTTGTGAGCAAGTGATCGCTTGCTTTGCTACTTAGGTTCCAGGTGGGTGTGATGGGCATCCTCCGCACCAGTGGGCCAGCCCCCCAAGGGATAAGATGGGCGGGTGAGGGCCAGCATCTGTGTACGTCCCTCAGGGCTCCAGATGCCCGATAGGAAACCATGCACTGTTCCCAAAGAGGCCCATTTGGGAATTTCACATGAAAATACATGTCTGACACTGGCCCGTTGGTTGCAGTAACCCAGGAAAAAAGATGGCAAGTGTTGTGAATCCTCCTCCTTTTTTTTTTTTTTTTTTTTTTAAATATAAGGTAATACTGATACTCAGGCAGAAGAGGACGAAAGAGCCCAGGAGAGTCAGGTAATACTCCTTTTTTTTCTTTTTTTGCTTGGCTTACTCACTATTTTAAAAGATCATTTAACCTTTTGAAGAGGCAATACACTGTATATATTTTTAATATTAGACCTTATGGTCTAAACAATGAATAATATTAAAAATATATACAGTAGAAAACCTCCCTCCACACACTATCTCCCATCTGCTCAGTTCCCAAGCCCTTAAACAGGTTATCATTCTTATTGGTACCTTTAAAAAAAAAATCTTTCCAGAGATAGAAAAACATGTATATAAAAACCAAAACTAGTTGTCTTTTCCTCTCCTTTTGGACACAGATGGTGGCATCTTTTTAGTATCTGTATAGCACGTCAGTTGACGTGACATTTGGGATGTTTCTGATCTTTCAGGTGTATTAGGAACAATGTTGTAATGAATTATCTTGAACATCTATCATTTTGCAGATATACTAGTGTTTCTTTAGGACAGATTCATAGAAGTAGAATTGCTCTGTCAAAAGATTCCTTGCTCCTCTTTAAAAAATTTTTTTTTTTTAAGATTTTATTTATTTATTCATGAGAGACAGAGAGAGAGAGAGAGGCAGAGGGAGAAGCAGGCTCTCAAGGAGCAGGGAGCCCGATGTGGGACTTGATCCCAGGACCCTGGGATCATGACCTGAGCCGAAGGCAGACGCTTAACCATCTGAGCCACCCAGGCGCCCCTCCTTGCTCCTCTTGACCTTAAAAAGACAAGAGTTCTTGAAAACTGTTTCCCCAAAGCCAAAATTACCAAAACAGCCTTAGTTTTAAAAATGGGATTATATGGAGGCAAACTATTCTGTGTTTGGAAATATACTTGCACATGAGCAACTGGTTCCATCTTCAATTTTAATAGGACATTTTAGATATATTTATTCTGTTCAAAACTCAAAGGTACAAAAACCATCCTCTTCAAAAAAAGGGAAATTTATTTGAGTTTGCAGTTTGTTTTAGTTATCCAACATCTCCTTTGAAAGACATGAAAGGATTCAGCAGGTGTACTAACTCACCCTGGTAGTGTTGTCTGCTTAGTCTGTGTGTCTGATAAGCATAGACTCAATTAACTGTGTTTTCTTTTCCCCTTTCCTCTCTGCTTCCGTTTGTTCCATCTGCCGCTGCCAACGCTTTCTTCCAATCAGCAAATGGTTTGTTTTATGTTTCCTAATTTGTGATCGTGTGTGTGTGTTGGGGGGGGGGTTCCCACTACACTTACATCCATTTTGTAGCTTTTTCTTCTTCCCGCAGTGTAGCTCCTAACAGGATAAAGTCTTAGAAAATGAAACTTCCCTTCAGTGTTGGAAGGGGTCTCCTGCAGATAATCCCGAAGCTGGTGATTGCTAGCTTTGTTTTAGAACTTGCCCTGGCAAGAGAATTAGGCCCAGTATTTCTTTAAAAAGTGAAATGTATCATTTTTAATATTGTAAAGTAGGATTTATTCAGTGGATATTTAGAGAAATTGGGACCTTTTTGTTATATGTTGAAGAGGGTAAAAACATTTTGTTTTTAAAGTGCCCTTGGTTTGAAAGGAGACATTAGGACAAGAGTGTCTCCTCCTGATGGTCACCTCGTTGTCCCACTGCTCAGTGAATCTTGGCACAGGTGTTCCTTGTACGTGTGGTACCTGAGCACTGTCACTGTCTCCTCAGCTGAAAGGGAGCTGGAGCCTTCTCTTTGAAACACCTTCATTTTTGTCTGAAGATAACGTGTACTGACTGTTCCACTGGGACCACCAGTCAGTAGATGTTAAGCGGTGGTCGGAGGGGAATTTCCTGAACTTGTTCAAATCTACGGAGCATAAAAGTTCTGGATTTGTCCCGGAATTTAATGGAACAGTTGACTGGTTTTGCTTTTTATAGAGTTTGGTGTATGTATGTGTGTATATATAAAGCATTTAAACGTGGGCTCAGTAATGGCCACTGTTGCCCCCCCCCCCCCATGAGGCGCAGCACATTCTGTAGCCACAGTGTGAGAGTGCACTTTCCTGGTGTTCTTGACACCCCAGTGTACGTTTAGACATTGTATACATTTGTTTTTTCTTTTTCCGGACAAATCAGATCGATTTCCTAAATTCAGTAATAGTGGACCTTCAGAGGAAGAATCAAGACCTCAAGATGAAGGTGGAGATGATGTCAGAAGCAGCCCTTAATGGGACTGGGGATGACCTAAACAGTTACGACAGGTATTTTATATTAAGCAATACTGATCAGAACCTTCGTTCCACCTAAATAAAGGTTTTTAAAGTTAAGTTCTCCAGTGGATTGGAGAAAACAATTGCCTTGGCCATAAATCGATTTCCATAAATCTGGCAAGAGAGTGATATAACCCTACAAATGGTTTGATGTGAAAATTTAAAATGTGGACTGTAGAACGTCTACTTGAGGCTCCCAGACTTGGCCATAATTAATTCTGCTTATTTTTTGTTCTTTGAGAGTGATACTGTCTCTTGAACTTCATCTGGTAGATATGAGTTTCTGATTGTACATGTTAACATTTGTAGTGACGACCAGGAGAAACAGTCCAAGAAGAAACCTCGCCTCTTCTGTGACATATGTGACTGCTTTGACCTCCACGACACCGAGGACTGCCCCACCCAGGCGCAGGCGTCGGAGGACCCCCCCCACTCCACACACCATGGCAGTCGGAGCGAGGAGCGTCCATACTGTGAAATCTGTGAGGTGTTCGGGCACTGGGCCACCCACTGCAATGATGATGAGACGTTCTGATGGGACCCGCAGCCCTGCGCCGGGCTTCTCAGACACACTAACATGTAGGCGACGGAACACCAGCATCGTGTGTGCAGACTTCCGGAGAACTCATGTTATTTTTGACCCCCATCAACAAATCTAAGAAAATATTTTGAGCTTCAATAAATCACCCTTTTAGTCTCCCCTTAGAATTTAAAATAATAAATACTTAGTAGGTGAGTTTTCACCTCTGATTTGTCTTCTTGATTTTTAAAAGTTCTAACAAGACATTGCACCAGATGCCATTACATTTACTGCCCCGAGGGAAACCTCCTAGAACAATCCCTACCCTCACAATACCTTATTTAAGTAACTTTAAATTATGCTGTTACTTTTCATATTTGCACTAAAATTTTTCCAGGCTGCGTTTGTATATTTAGATGTTTGGGTTAAGCTTTGACACTGGAATGAGTTGGAAAAATGTGCCATTTTGCATTTTCATCTACTCATTTAAAGTATTTTATTCTTAAAGAAGTATCTGAGCTCTTTGCACTACCTGATGTCAGTAGTGCCTTTATTTCAGGCTTGATAATACTTGGGTGTGATTATAAAATCATGAAACAGGTAAAGGGGGGGAAGCCCCAAACTGCTGTGGGGACATTTTATAATCTATATGCTGCACCTACTCACTCTACTGTGGTGTTTTGTTCATTGGTTTTGCATAATTTCAGCTTCTATATATTATATGTATATATTTTTTAAAAATCTATATTTTGGGAAAAAAACACAATGTCTGTCTTTTCAGATTTTTACCTTTATGAAAAAGAAAACACATCAAGACATGATGGACTAAGCCAGAATATAACATCACGTGGCTTTGCAACTATTTTTTCTGTTTTCATTTTGTTTCTTTAGCAGATATAAATAACTGGGAGAATTTTCTCCAGATTTGTTTCTTTCTTCAGCAGATATCCCCAGCAGTCAATTAACTAGATAATAAGCCACTATAAAACACCTAAATTAACCAATCTACAACCTTTACAAGTTTTTTTACTGTATTTTTAGATGAATGTACGATGAGAAATTCAACATTAATAATTTTGGATTTTCTTATCACAAAAAATAAAATGAAGGACCTCAACCATCAGAAGTTTATCAACCAGTTTGAGTCTATTTATCTTCATTTGAAGGTCTTCTAGAATATGTAAAAAGTAATAAATGTATCTTCCATGCTACATGTATAATAAGAACTTCTATAATTGTATATATGCCTTTGATGTATTTTTCCCCTCAAGATTATCAAATGTGTGTCTGACAAGTGAAAAACCTGTAATGAGTTGAAATTTTTGGTTATAAACATATTAAAATAGGAAGTGTTTCACAAACAAAATGTAAAGCAGTATTAAAATTTGAGCAAACAAGTGTTCTGTATCTACTTTAATAAATGGTTCTTTTTTGCCAGTGGTAGTAAACTGATATTATTCTCAGGTTTATTTGTCAGTGTTTTTCTTTAAATGAGCAAGCACTATATATCCAAACAGAAATTTCTACAGTCTTGTTGATAAACAGCTTTTTTTTTTTTTTAGAAAAAGACTGAAAAGATTTAATAATCAACTCCCAAATTTTATGCTTATTTTTCCGATCTATCAGTTTCCTGACATAGTTAACATAAGCAGGTAAATCTTTTCAGTAAATTGAGCAGTTGAAGACTCAAGCAAAAACCCAAGTCAAGACTCAAATGTCTTGAGGAACTCTGGCAAGTTACATATATCCCATGTTGCTCTTGGTTTCCTATCTCTTCTTTGCTTCAAACCCCCATGCAAGTTTCTTTTTTTGGGCAACCTGTGAATTTTCAGCGTCCTTTTTGACTTTTACAAAGTTGTGGCAGGCAACCGCCTTGGCAATTTTTACACCAAGCTCTCGAGTAGCTAGCTGGTTGCTGAGTTCCTCAGCCTTCTCAATGTTCCACTCTTCCACAGCCTGGTCTATGCTCTTTTCAAGGCCTGACTTGTCAATTTTTTTCTTTTTAACAGGGGGGCCAAACCTATCATTGATTCCAAAATACTGAGTAAGCTCCTTCCACTGGGTTTCACTTGAGGTCTGTTCACTATGAGAATCTTCTTCATTTTTCAATTTACCTTTCCTGGAGCGTTTTCTTTTTTTCCCTCTGAATCCTGAAGTTGAGGTTTTCTGTTCAGAATGTTTTTTATGCAATTCTTGAAATGTATGCCACATATTTAAGGGAATTCCAGAGGGGCATTCTTCATATGGATTTACATTTGCCTCTACTCCAGGCTTTGGTCCATCAGCTGGGAAATCTGAGATCTCTGTTTCTGTAATGGCCCCATCTTCTTTATCTTCCTGTAAGTTAAATCCAGCATTCTCTAATGGGGCTTCATCTTCAGAATTCAACTCAATATCACTTTCATTTAGGCCAGGAGGTAGCAGCCCACTCCACATCTTTTCTTCCGTCAGGAGCCGGCAGCCCAGCAGCCATCTTAAGACCCCACCTGACAAACAGCTTTTAAGAAATCAATGTATCCCCATCTCAAAGCATCCTATGACCCACTTAATGTAAAATAAACACTAAGGTTATTATCCATTGCTATATCACACTATATTACCTGACAAAAATACATATGGCAGCAGGTAGTACCAACTATCAATCCATGACGTTTTACAAAGAAACTCTGAAAGTTGCTGGGATGTTCAGCAAAATGACTACTGAACCAAACATTTGTTTTATGAGCACAGACTCACCAACAGGTCGATATTTCCAAAGCAGAGTTATCAGTTGAACAAGCACATTACTTTAACCTAAATAATACCCTGACAGTAGTCCTTGACTTCAGTACTAACCATAGGGAATTAAAAGACAAACTATAAACTTACTGTGGTAATCATTTTGCAATTTATACTTAGGTCAAATCATGTTGTATACCTGAAACTAATACAATGTTACATGTCAGTTATATCCATAAAAACTAAAAAGAACACTAAGGTCTGCAATAGTCATAGGGCAACTACAGCAGTATAGTTTCCAAACATTGGGTCTCTATACAGGTTAAACACCTATGTTGATCATCTTCTAGCATCCTGATCCTGTCTGAGGAGGAGAGTTTATCAGCCTGGTCTTGCTCATTTATACTCATGCATGCTTGGGATTTCACTAGCCTTGAGCATTTCACCTCCTAACTGTAAGTTGTGGCCTCATTTAACAGTTCATGACAAGGCCTGATGAGCTCAACATGTATTCGCACAGATGGTGCTAAAATAATACACATTTTCAGCTGGGCAAAAAGCCTGCACATGTGACAAGAATCTGTGATACAGGTTGAGAACCACTGTGAAAACCGGCTTGAGAAATAGGGCGTGGAAGTCTGCATGAGTGGAAACAAGTTATTTTAAAATCTAAACGGTTTTGATGAATCGTAGAATTGAGAGTACAAGTGTGTATATATGTATCATTGATTGATTGCTTTTCTGCATCCTCCCCAAATTCTGCTCTTTGCTTACTCAGAACCTCATGGTAGTTGTTTAGTGAGCCCTTTCTTCATAATATAGAGTGTATATATAGAATTGAAAGGAGCCATCCACTCGAAGACCCAACATTTTCAAGCCTCTTTCACATCCCAAATAGTCAATTTCTACCCTCAAAGTATTGAAACGCACATATCCTCCTAAAACAATAGTTATTAAGCAATTAAGTTCCAGGCACCCTTCTGAGCTTTTAATATGAAACATGATGTAAATTCCATCTTTTTGATCCTCACAACTCACAAGGAAACAAACGATTTTTACTGATGCAGTGGGAACTGGATTCCACGTGGGACAGTATTTGTGTGAAATACCAGGCAGTGGCAGTTTACCAGGAAGAGCTAAAGAGACGTCACATGACAGATTCCCTCAGCCGCTGTCCTTTTTTGTAAAGTTTAGCCTACAAACTAAGAGAGCAAAGCGAAGGGCTTTCTGATTGCTACAAAAGATTTCCATTATAGCGGGTATGCTTGCTGCTAAGAAGAAAGAGTAGGGTCCAGTCCCCGTCTCTCAACTCATTCTCCGCGCCCAACGACTCCTGGACTGAGGGAGGGTCCGGATGGGGCCGGGGGTCTTGGGGGGGGAAGGGCGGAACCCACGGGGAAGAAGGAAACCGCGGAGGCTAGGGCCGGGAAAGACAGCGGACGTCGGCCCATTCCAGTTTCCGGGTTTGCGTGCTGTCAGCGCCTCGGTCACGTGACCGCGCCGCCACGTGACCGCGCCCGTGGGCTTAGCCGGAAGAGGGGGCGGTGGGGCAAGATGGCGGCGCACCTGTCCTACGGACGAGTGAACCTGAACGTGCTGCGCGAGGCGGTGCGTCGCGAGCTGCGCGAGTTCCTGGATAAGTGCGCGGGAAGCAAGGTGAGGGACGGGAGGCGGCGACAGTGCTCTCCAGCCGCCAGTCCGGCCTGGTCTGATCCGGTGCCTGACCGCCTGAGCTCCAGGTGTCCGAGATCCCGAGGAGGGGAACAGGTGGGACCAGTGAGGCGGGGAGAGGGACCTGACGGTGGGTCCTGAGGCACACAGTCCACAGAGTCGGCGTGGCCTAGCAATTGTTTTGTTGCAGCAGAGGAAGCCACTGTGGTATCGCAGTCCCTCGTGAACCACCTATGTCAGGTGCCCTTCAGATCCAGAGGGGCAGGTCTGGTGCCCCCTGAGACCCGGACGCGTGGGGCGGGTCCGGCCCAAGGACGTAAATGGTACATGCATTTCAGCGATCACGCGTGTCGTTGCATATCGAACCATCGAAAGTCTCTGAAGCTCCAACATCTTACAGTCTGCTGCTCACACGGATTATGAAAGAAGTTTAGAGTTATCTGAGGTTTTAACGTGACCGTCCTGAGGATTGTTTCTCCTGTTAGACGTTTACCACCGCTCAGCTCACAACTGAGTGAGAAATTGTATATCAGAGACTTGATAGGATTTCTTCTAAGCGGTGTCACCTTTCTCCTCTCCCCTTAGGATTTATCAGGCCCCCTTACGTAATTGGCAGTACAACTCCGAAAAGAAAACGAAAACTGGGGAATCTCAAGAATCAGTCGTAGAAAGAATAGAACCCCAGGAGATAGAGTGGGTACTAGCAGCCATGAGAGAAAAAAAAGCAGGCTAAGTCCTAGGTGCCCAGTTCAGGCTCAAGAAATGATACTGAAATCTGAATTAGATCATGGATTGGATCAATGTCAGTATTCTGGATGTAATATTGTACTCTGGTTTTGCAAAATGTTACCATTGGGGGAAACTGGGCAGAGCATACAAGGGCTCTCTATTATTTCTTACAAATAAATGTTAACCTACACTTATCTCAGTAAAAATTTCAGTTAAAAAAGAGAAGGGAGCACCTGGGTGGCTCAGTCAATTAAGCGTCAGACTCTCGATTTCTGCTCAGGTCATGATCTCAGGGTCATGGGATCGGGCTCCGTGTTGGGCTCCAAGTTGGGCTCCGCACTCAGCATGGCGTCTGCTTGAGATTCTCTCTCTCCTTCTCCCTCTGCCCCCCCTCGCTCCGTGCACTCACTCACACTCTCTCTCTTTCTCTCTCTCTCCCAAATAAATAAAAAAATTTTTTTTAAGATTTTATTTATTTATTTGACAGAGAGAGGGAACACAAGCAGGGGGAGTGGGAGAGGGAGAAGCAGGCTTCCTGCTGAGCAGGGAGCCCGATGCGGGGCTCGATCCCAGGACCCGGGGATCACGACCTGAGCCAAGGCAGACGCTTAACGACTGAGCCACCCAGGCGCCCCCCAAATAAATAAATCTTTAAACAAAAAAAACAAACAAAAAAAATCAACAGTAGCATCACTTGTCCAGATACTGGTTTTTCTTTAGACCTATAAGATATGAATGTGGTTAGAGCCAATTAAAATTTTTGTTAATTCAGATTTTGAAGCAAATATTCCTACTACGTATGACTGCTGTTTTCTGTGGGTGTTGTTGAAATTCCTGACATTAACCATAACGAGAGTATTTCTCCTCTCCTCCTACAGGCAATAGTTTGGGACGAGTACCTCACAGGACCATTTGGCCTGATTGCACAATATTCATTACTGAAGGTAAATGAGCTATTTGGGTTTTGTTCAGGCATTAATAATTATAAACTTCAGCAATAATAGGATTTTACATTTTCTCCCGAGTAATTGGCAAAGCTCTTTGGTCTTTATAGACAGTGATACTAATGCATGTCTAACATTCTTTTTTTTTTCTTTTAAGATTTTATTTATTTATTTGAGAGAGAGAATGAGATAGAGAGAGAGAGCATGAGAGGGGGGAGGGCCAGAGGGAGAAGCAGACTCCCTGCTGAACAGGGAGCCTGATGCGGGACTCGATCCCAGGACTCCAGGATCATGACCTGAGCCGAAGGCAGTTGCTTAACCAACTGAGCCACCCAGGCGCCCAACATGTCTAACATTCTTTATACAGTGGTCCATTGGCCAGTGATTTTATGCTGATCCTAATTCTAGGGAAATTACTAGCCTTGTATTATGTGACCATTACTTAGTGTCACTGACAATTCCTCATGTGAGAGTCATTTGAATTCAGGTGCAGTAGCAGTGACTTAATCCTGAAACTTTGTCCTTTATACATCTGACTTTGGGGAAACTAATTTTGCTAATCAAGTAATAATGTCATTTGGCTGGGAGTGTTAATGATGTCTGAATCTGGATAGGATAGGTGAAGTTCAGGGTTTTTGTTAACCTTTTGTGTATGTGTTTTCCTAGGAACATGAAGTGGAAAAAATGTTCACACTTAAAGGAAGTCGTTTGCCCGCAGCTGATGTCAAAAATATTATCTTCTTTGTCAGACCCAGGCTAGAACTGATGGATATAATTGCCGAAAATGTGCTCAGGTATCTCTCAGAGCTTATGTTTGGTCCAAAAGAGGTTGGTCCTTCTCATGGTTTTAACGTCCTGAGCCTCTTATTGCAATTCCTCATCTTGCCAGTGCATGAAAAGGTGGTCTTTTAGAAAACAGGGCAGGCATGAAAGAACATAAGACGGCAGATGGGAAACTCGTGAAGTTGGTCAAACAGTTGGAGAAGGGGGGCAACATATAACCCCATTTTTTAGGACAGCTAAAATTGAGACCTATATCAATAGAAAGGACTCTGATTACAAAACCAAAACCCCTAATGGTTATTTTTCAATACTCTCAATATAGTGTGCTTGAATTTCATAAGCAAAATAAGTATGAACTGATTAAAATTTAATATAGCATCCAATCTGTAGAGGAAGTTCTCAGCCCCATCTGCACTCTGTGGTACAGTTGATTGATATGGCCCTTAAGATCTTAAAAGCATATGGGCTATTTTGGGAAGTCCACTGTCAAGGAGACTAGACCTGGGAGTCAAGAGTGATCTTCCATTTTCCTGTAAGACTGTGTCACTGCATTGGTGGGGTTAAAGAGTCATTTGTTTTCAGTAAGACACAGATATCCTGTTTCAATAAACCTGAGAGCTTTAAAGCCCCATAAACGGTTTAAGAGAAAGCTAGAAAATGCATCACGAAACACTGGCTGTGAATCAATGCCTCTTTCCTGTCACGGAAAAAGAGAGCAAAGGAGCAACTATATAACAATTGGAATCTGGAAGTCAATATGTGTATGTTTATCCAACCAGCATTTATTTAGTGCGTGCTGTGTGCCAGGCCGCGGGCCAGGCGCTGGGAATAAAATAAGTGAAATAGACTACGACTCGTAGGTGCTTGTAATCTAACAAATGTTACTTCATTTGCAGTGAAGACAGACGTGGTCCAGCAAGAGATTTCCACATTTTGTTTGTGCCGCGACGTAGTTTACTGTGCGAACAGCGGTTGAAGGATCTGGGTGTTCTGGGATCCTTTATTCATAGGGAGGAGTACAGCCTCGACCTCATTCCATTTGATGGGGATCTCTTATCCATGGAATCGGAGGGTGCATTCAAAGTAAGTTTGACATTCTCCTTTTCAATGTCAGACTTTGATTTTTGTCGTATTTGTGAGCATGACCGTGTCAGCGATCCTGTTTTCATTTGCATTTCTGTGATTGCCGTGAAGCTGAGCCTCTTTCCATATGCTTATTGACATTTAAGATTTTTCTCTTCAGCACATCTTCAGCTTGTTCTTTTTTGTTGCCCATTCTTTCTTTTTAAGGGATTCTTTGTATATTCTGGACACGAGTCACTGTAGTTATAGAAGCGGCAAGTACGTTCTCCCAATCTGTGATTTGTCTTTTCATTATGATATCTTTTATCCTGTAGACATTTCCCATCATAAAGTGCTTTATTTATTTATTTATTTATTTTAAAGATTTTATTTGTTTATTTGACAGAGAGAGACACAGCGAGAGAGGGAACACAAGCAGGGGGAGTGGGAGAGGGAGAACAAGGCTTCCCGCTGAGCAGGGAGCCTGATGCGGGGCTCAATCCCAGGACCCTGGGATCACGACCTGAGCCGAAGGCAGACGCTTAACGACTGAGCCACCCAGGCGCCCTAAAGTGCTTTATTTTTGTAATAGCTTTATTGAGACATAATTCACATGCCATAAAATTTACCCTTTTACAGTGTGCAGTTCACTAGTTTCCAGTGTATTCAGAGTTGTGCGACCATTGCCACTGTCTCATTGTGGAACATTTTTCTCCTTTCAGAAAGAAACGCTCTGCCCATTAGCAGTCACCCCCTCTCTCCCTCCGCGGCTCCTGGCGTCACTAGCCTGTTGCCATCTGTATGGATGATTCTGGAGATTTCTTATCAATGAAATCATGTAACACGTGGTCTTTTGTGTCTGGCCTCTTTCTTAGCATCATGTTCTCGACGCTCATCCACGTTGTAGCAGGTTATCAGTCCTTCATTCCTTTTTATTGTCAAACAGTATTCTGTTGTAATAATAGCCCACATTTTGTTTATCATTCATCTTTAGTGGACAGATGATGGTTTTTCACCTGTCGGCGATCATGATGCTGCGAACATTCTTACAAGGTTTTGTATGTACATGTGTTTTCATTTCTCTTACATATACCTTGAAGTAGAATTGCTGGGTCATACGGTAAAACTCTGTGTTTAACATTTGGAGGAGCTGACAGACTTTTCCACAGTGACCGCACCATTTTCTGCTCCCACCAGAGATAGATAAGGGTTCCAATCTTACAATCTCACCAACACATTGTTATCTGTCTTCTTGAAGTTTGCCATCCTGGAGAGTGTGAAGCATTATCTCATTGTGGTTTTGATTTGCATTTCCATAGTGACCAGTGATGTGCTTCTTGGCCATTTGTATGTCTTCCTTTAAAGAAATGTCTATTCTGATGTGTGGTGCATTTGTTAAAGTGGGGTAGTTTATCTTTTCATTAGAAGAGTTGTAAGAATTCTGGAATGTTCTGGATGCAAGTTCTTTATTGGATACATGATTTGCAAATATTTTATCCCATTCTGTGATTTTTTTTTCACTTGGTAAAAGTGAAACACAAATTTTTTTTTTCAACCCAGAATTTTTCATTTTAAAGTTCAGTTTAACTGTTTTTCCCTCTTGTTGCTTTTGCTTTTGGTATCCCATCTAAGAAATCGTTGCTTAACCCAGAGTAATGGATTGACCCTTATGTTTTCTTCAAACAATTTTATGGTTTCAATCTTACATTTAGGTCTTTGAGCTATTTTAAGTTCACTTTTATCTGATTGAGGTGGGGATCCAGCCTCGTTCATTTGCATGTGGCTGTCCATTTGTTCCAGCACCATTCGCTGGAAGGTGGTACTTTCCTCATTGAATTGTCTTGGTGCCCTTGTTGAAAATCCGTCGTCCATAAATGTAAATGTTTGTTTCTGATGTCGCAATTCTATTCCATTAGTCAATATGCCTGTCTTTATGCCAGCACCCTCCTCTCTCAATTACTGTGGTTTTGTAGTAAGCTTTGACACTGAGAGGTAGGAGTCTTCCAAGTTAAAGTAGTTAAATATATCACTTTTATTCTTTTAGTTTGTGTTTTTCGAGTATTATTAAATCCCTCTACACCCTGAAGATATAGGAAATCTTATATTTTCCTTCGAAAGTCTTGGAAGTTTTGCTTTTTAAGAAAAAAAAAGGTCAGGTGTTTAGCTTGAATTGTGTATTTGTGTGGAGTGTGTGGTGTGAGGTAGAGGCTCATTTAGTTTTTTCCAGATGGGTAGCCAGTTGTTCCAGCCCTGGTTTTCTCCACTGCTTATTTCCCACATATGTTTATAGTAAATGTGCACGCCTTTGTTCTCCAGAACTAAGAGTTTTCTTGCAAATGTAAGTTTATGTATTTGCTTTATTTACCATCTTTATTTCAAAGAACACTTTCTCTCATAAGAATATTACTTTATCTTTAATAAAATGATTTGAAAGTGTTTTTTGTTTTTTTTAAGATTTTTTATTTATTTATTTTTTGACAGAGAGACAGAGAGGGAACACAAGTGGGGGGAGTAGAAGAGGGAGAAGCAGGATTCCCACCGAGCAGGGAGCCCGATCCCAGGACCCTGGGATCACGAGCTGAGCTGAAGGCAGACGCTTAACGACTGAGCCACCCAGGTGCCCTTGAAAGTTTTTGAGAACGTTATCCTTGCACAATGATTTCTTTGAGTAAGAAAGGGTACAGAGTGAAAAGTAAGCCTCCCAGTGCTCAAACTGCCAATTCCCTGTCAGCAGCAATCACTATTACTAATTCTTTTTTTGATGCTTTATGTAGCTACAGCTCATAATATATATAAAATACCCTCCCCACTTTATACAAATGGTGGCATAAACCATATAAGTTTGGTATCTTGCTTTCTTCTCTTAATAATATTATCTCAAGATCATTTTCTACCATATGTGAAAATGCTCCTGTATTTTTGTTTGAAGCTGCATACCGTTGCATTGTTCGGAGCTACCATGATTTATCAAACCAGTCCCCTTCTGTAGGATATGTCAGCGGTTCTCATCTTGTGCTGTTGGAGGTGGTGAATAACCCTGTACGTAGGTCACTGTGCATGTGGGCCCTGTAACTGTAGACTTTTTTTTTTTTTTTTTTTTTTTATTTGAGAGAGAGAGTGAGAGAGAGAGAGCACAAGAAGGGGGGGAGGGTCAGAGGGAGAAGCAGACTCCTCGCTGAGCGGGGAGCCTGATGCGGAACTCGATCCCGGTACTCCGGGATCATGACCTGAGCTGAAGGCAGTCGCTTAACCGACTTGAGCCACTCAGGCACCCTGTAGACTGTTCTTTACTCTCTTTTGACATTTGTCTTTGGACTTTGCTTATGGTAGTTTCTGCCATGCGTGTTTTTCAGTGCACTCACATTTGTCCATATTTTCCCTACTGGTTTGCTTATACGCTGAATCTCATCCAAAGATGGTATAGACTACCCCCATGCCAACATTTAAATGAAAAATTTCAGACATACACAGAAGTTGAGAGTTTGACAGGGAACACCCATATACCCATCACCTAGATTCTGGAATTACCATTTTGCTCTATCTGTTTCATCGTATAGCTGTAATGGAATGCCCACATGTCATTAATTCATGTCTCTGTAATTAATGTGAATTGGTAGCAGCTGAGGAAAACTTGTCCCGGCATGCCAGACCCTGTCCAGAGGAGAGATTTCCTGTTTGTTTTTCTGATGATTTGCAAAAAAAGGACAGAATTATATTCTGCTGGGAATCTCAAGCTCTTGGTTTTGTAAGTTCACCTCAGATTCTGTTTAGAAATCAGAGATTTTGCCTGGGTGGTAAAGCTGAGAATTCCACCTAGTGCGAAATTCAGCCCCAATTTCTGGTGGAGTTGACGTAATTTTACATATTTATGTGATTTTAAACAATGAGCATAATTTAGTGATTTTTGGCATCAGAAGGCACATGTAGATCTTTCTATGCTTTGGGGATGTGATTAAGATCTTCTCCATCATTGTTCTGTATAAAATGTGGGAATCAGAGTTCACCCTGTTGAATGCTCAGTAACAGTGATTAATGTATCATGCTCAGTAACAGTGATTAATGTATCACAGCCTTCATACGTACACATAAAAATCAGTGTATATTAACCTGTTTCCTTTATAGAAACTGTTGGCTGTTCTATTGTGTAGGCATGTGGGATTTGGAGGTCAAAAAGTATTTAAATGTTAACAGTATTAGCATTTGTCCCTCCCAAAATGTCCTCCTGGCTTAAAATTCCACAAGTGCACAATAGAGTTGGGATATTAACACAAATTATCACTCCACCGACACTTACATTAGAGCAAAAAATTCAAGATTAGTATCTGTTTTTAACTTTTAAATCTTTTTTAAAAGATAGCCTTATAAAAGGAATGTCTGGGGTACCTGGATGGCTCCTTCGGTTGAGCATCCAACTCTTGATTTCAGCTCAGGTCATGATCTAAGGGTCATGAGATTGAGTCCCATGTCAGGCTCCATGCTCAGTGGGGAGTCTGCTGGAGATTCTCTCTCTTCCTCTCCCTCTGCCCCTTCTCCCATGCTCGCTCACTTTCTCTCTCTCTAAAATAAAAATAAGTAAATCTTAAAAAAAAAAAAAGGAATGTCTATAGTAATACAACTTTTTAAATTAAAAGTAATATGAATGCTGGGGCACCTTGCTGGCTCAGTCTGTAGAGCATGCAACTCTTGATCTCTCGGGGTTGTGGGTTTGAGTCCCATGTCAGGTATAGAGATTACTTAAAAACAGAATCTTAAAGGAGCACCTGGCTGGCTCAGTCGGTTAAGTGTCTGCCTTCGGCTCAGGTGGTGATCTTGGGGTCCTGGGATTGAGCCCCACGTCAGGTTTCCTGCTCAGCGGGGGTCTGATTCTCCCTCTTCCTCTGCCCCCCCCCCACTCATTCGTGCTCTCTCTCTCTCTCAAATAAATAAAAATCTTAAATAATAATAGTAATATGAATGCTATTTGGAGAGATGTTCCCTAATATTTTTTTTCTTGAATTTTTATCTTACTTCTGCTCCAATCAGGAGTTTTAAGTAATTTTGCCAGAAAGTGTGTCTTCAGACATTTTTTTTTCACCTTTCCTATTCAGTGAAATATTAAAATACCCCAGACTTGGAAGAGCCATCATCTGGCAGGGCTTCCAGTGGTGACCAGATACTCCTCACAGTGTCTTCGGGGAGTGCTCAAGTGCTCCACTCTGTCTTCCCTAATCCCTTTGGTATCCTTTCCCTCCTGGCTTTGGAGACCAGACACATTGGGTGGGTGGGTGGAGAGCAGGTGTCTGGTGCGATGTACCATTTTGACTTATTATTTCTTTTTGTGGGGAGGCAGAGGGAGAGGGAGAGAAAGAATCTTAAGCAGGCTCCACACCCATCACAGAGCCTAATGTGGGGCTCGATCTCACAACCCTGAGATCATGACCTGAGCCAAAATCCAGAGTCAGACGCTTAACCGACAGCCACCCAGGCGCCTCATGTACCATTTGACTTATGAGGAGATAATGATTGTGAAAAATATACAAACAATTCCAAATAATAAAAGCTACCATTTATTAAGCACTTACTATATATTTCGAGTGCTGGGATTTAATGTTTTACATGCATTTTCTTCATTTACTCCTTACACCATGTGGAATGTACTCCCTTCTACAGATGAGTAAATTGAGCCACACAGAGGTTATGTAACTGGCCTAGGGAGCAGCTGGTAAGTGGCACAGAGGGGCTCAGATCAGGGCGACCTGAGTCAGTGTCAGAACTGAGCATTTCCCCTCTCGCTTCCCAACTGGCTTTGTGTGTATTTTGTTGGCCTTGATGAAATATACCTTATATATTTTATAGAGTAAAGTGTATTTTCTGAAAATGAGATCAGACTCTAAATTTCGTTCAGCTACCCGTTTTCACTCCTCAACATGTTAGGACCTTTGTTATCAGCATATATGAAAATCTCATGTTGTGAAAACTGCTAAGTATTCTGTTGTGTGGTCCTCTGGCACAAAGAATGTGTGCCTTTGTGGGTATTAGCATGTGGCCTTCCCAGAGTGCCCTCCCAAAGTCTGCACTCCCCACAGGGAGCGAGAGAACCCATTCTCATTGTCTGTCTTTGTTAATCAGTTTACTTGAGAGTCGATAAATAAGAAGAATTGGTGTGGCTGGTGAATACTTTTCTTCCAGAAGGCTCTGCCAGGTGCTTCCACAGCTGCATCCCAGTAGCACAGCTGTTGGCCTTGTGTTCTTGACTGCCAAGTAGCAGCTTGACAAAACGGTCTTGTGTCCCCAGCTTTCCAGGCAAAGTGGAGGAAATAAGGGGAAAGTCCCAGGGCCAGACAGAGGCAGGTACCCAGCAAGCACCCAGTGACTGGGGCCTAACAGTAACCACCCTTTCTCCCCACAGGAGTGCTACCTGGAGAGTGACCAGACGAGCCTCTACCACGCAGCCAAGGGGCTCATGACCCTGCAGGCTCTGTATGGGACAATCCCCCAGATCTATGGGAAAGGAGAGTGTGCCAGGGTAAGAAATGGTGCATGTTTCTGGGGTGAAGGAAGGGGTGGGGTGCCCTGGTACCCAAAAGGGGAGCAATAGGAAGCTATTTACAAACAAGTACAGTCAATCCTATTTATGTGTGAATTCACCTGATTGCTGAAATGTACTTGTAACCCCAAATCGATACTTGCAGTGCTTGCGGACATGTCAAGAGTGGCAAAAAATTTGAGCCGCCCGCTGTGCGCATTTCCAGCTGACGGCCAGTACAGCGATGCTCTGCCTTCTTGTTTGGTCTCTCAGGCGGTAAACAGGTGTCCTTTCTGCCACTATGTAGGGCCATGCACTACCTAACAGCGCGTTTTTTGCATTTTTGCGCTTTCTCTTGGTGATTTCACTGTTTCACGTGGCCCCAAGGGTGGTCCTGAAGCACTGCCCGTGTCCCTGAGCTCAGGAAGGTCGTGATGGGCCTTTCCGAGAGAATACCGTGTTGCCTCAGCTTCCCTCAGGCGTGAGTGATGGTGCTGTTGGCAGTGAGTTCATTGTGGGTCAATCAACAAGCTATAGGAAATCAAGTGTCTTTAAATAGAAACACACGTAAAACAAGGTTACACGCTGATTAGTTGATAAAAACCTTGTGACCAGAGGCTCGCAGAAACCTAACCCTGTCTCTGCCCTACAGCAGTGACTCAGGACTGACTGGCTGGGTCCGTGCTCATGGCCACTTTACAGGAGTCCCTCACATAACGCGAACAGACTGCATCCGCCTTCTCATGCCTCGAAGAGCAGTGGCTGCCATCAGAGCACATGCGTGGTGGGAGTGGGTGGCCAACACAGACGCTTTTCTCTGACTGCTTATTTCTGATCAGTCTCACCCTTCCACAGTTTCTCTCCTTTTTAAATTTTTTTTTAAAGATTTTATTTATTTATTTGAGAGAGAATGAGATAGAGAGAGAGAGCATGAGAGGGGGGAGGGTCAGAGGGAGAAGCAGACTCCCCGCTGAGCAAGGAGCCCGATGCGGGACTCGATCCTGGGACTCCTGAGCCCAAGGCAGTCGCTTAACCAACTGAGCCGCCCAGGCGCCCTCTCCTTTTTAAATTTTTTGATTGTCTTTCTGTTTTTAGCTACATTTTAAACTAGGCTATTTCCCAGGAAAGTCCCACCTGATCCAATGTTTTTTTTCCAGCAAGTGGCCAATATGATGATCAGGATGAAGAGAGAGTTTACAGGAAGCCAAAATTCGATATTTCCTGTTTTTGATAATCTCTTGTTGCTCGATCGAAACGTGGACTTATTAACGCCTCTCGCCACTCAGCTTACATATGAAGGACTCATTGATGAAATTTATGGCATTCAGAACAGTAAGTAAAGTGACCTCTGTGTTTCCTGAAAAGTCATTGGATAGAAATCTCCAAAAGGTCTTTTTTTTTAGGAGATGCTTTCTTAAATTAGAGGATATTTGAGAAAATACAATACTGACTTTTGGCTTTCAGACACCAGATTAAACAAAATCCAAGCAAAAACTGCTGTTGTCTGTCCCACGAAAGCTGGCCGGATGCTTAGTGTGCAGGCCTCTGCTTGTCCCTGTGAACCGTGGCCCTGGGTTAGATGTAGGTGGCACTGCGGTTTGGAGAATGCAGACCCTCGTGGCTGGCGGTTGTTGGGAAAGCTTGTTGGAGAGGTGGCATTTGCACTGGGTTTGGGGAGGGGTAGATGTAGAGGGCCACAGCGAGTGGCAGGCCTCATCAGAGACACAGGGATGCTGCTGTGGACATTGCAGTGGGGCGTATCCAGGGAAGGGCCGACACTCGAGGTTGGAGACACAAGATGGAAGATGGGGGAGGCCTCCTAGCGTTTAGGTGTGACAGATCATTAGGTCAAAGTTCACAAACATGTTGGTTTGGTTTTGGCCCACACCATGCTTGTTTATTTCTGTCAGCATTTAAAATTTCAGAAATGTTTAATAATAGTCCTGATGTATTTCTTTATGATCAAAGCGTACTTTGATCGTGGAAAAATCAAAACCTTAGTATTATATGCCATTGTTTCCTAAAGCTAGCTTGCTTCTCTCCTGAGTTGGAAAATCCTGTTTTGTGCCCGGCACTTTGATCCGTTCTTCCAGTAAAGGCACACGGGTGCTTGCTCCCTTCCACTGTCGTTCAGGTTATGTGAAATTACCTCCGGAGAAATTTGCACCGAAGAAGCAGGGCGATGCTGGGAAGGATCTCCCCACGGAAGCAAAGAAGCTGCAGCTGAATTCTGCAGAGGAGCTCTATGCTGAGATCCGAGACAAAAACTTCAACGCGGTGGGCTCCGTGCTTAGCAAGAAAGCAAAGGTCATCTCCGCAGCGTTTGAGGTGAGGCGCTTTGGCTGCGTCGTGCTGCAGCTCTGGGTCACAGGCTAGACGCCCCCCCCCCGCCCCCCCAAGGAGAGGAAGAGCCTCTGGGCTTCGGTGCAGGTGCACATTTCTCTCCTAACGTGCAGGGTTTCTTTTGGAACTTGTTCCCAGGCCCCATGACAGAACGTGTACGTTGCCTCCTTTTTCTGCAGGGTGGCAGGAGCAGTGTTTGCGGTTTACAGGCTTTCGTCAGAAATACTTGTGTTACCTTTTCCTTTTTCGTTATTTCCTACCTCACTCAAGAGGAAGCCGGCTGTACTATAAATAAAAGATCCTCTAGAATAGAACTTGCGGTTTTGGGTGAAAGCTCTAAGTTTAGGCGCTTCATTATCACCTCCTGCCTCCTCTTGCCTGGATGCTCGTTTACTCTTGGGTGAGCTCATTTTGGAAACAGGAAAATTCAGTAAGATGATAAACTCTGAATGTTTAGACTTTGGAAACGTAAACTGGGGGAATTTTTGAAAACGAATGTTGCACCGAGTATGTATTTCTAGATTTCATCTTTCTGAGGGATTATATTCATTCATTGATTTTCACATTTCTGAAGTTACATTTGGTTTACATGATTCAGTTTTGCAAAAAAAAAAAAAAAAAAAAAAATCCCATCACTAAGCGAGGTTCACTTTGTGGACGATATTCAAGATTGAGATTCAGCAGTAAGAATGCGTTGTTGTTTTTTTTTATTATAGAGGACACTTTTTGCTGTTTACATTTCCCTCTTAACATAATGTTTTTGTTTTTTATTCAGAAGTATTTGTGGGTAACCTAATAGTGCCCCCACAAATACTCAGATGCCCCCAAATACTAATCACGATAGGAACCCGGGCATAGGAGGAGAAAACCTAATATGTTTGCTCTCTGAAGAACTAACACAGTAATCAGGCACCATGAACTCATCTTCTCTGTTTTTCTTGTAATGGCGGAGCTGGGTTTGGCCTGATTTATTTGTATTCCATTCTTTTTTCTACTTTGATATAAATTATACATCCTGTGAGCAACACACAGAGCAGAGCACTTAAAAATAAAATACCTTCGGGGCACCTGGGTGGCTCAGTCAGTTGAGTGTCTGCCTTCGGCTCAGATCGTGGTCCCAGAGTTCCGGGATCGAACCCCGCGCTGGGCTCCCGGCTCATTGGGGAGCCTGCTTCTCCCTCTCCCTCTGCCCCTCTGCCCTGCTCGTGCTCACTCTCGCTCTCTCTCAAATAAATAAATAATATCTTGAAAAAGAAGCAGAATAATTCTAAAAATAAATTAATAAATAAAATATCTCCCCTGCTTGATGGGTCTGCCATTTCCCCCATTTCAGGAAAGGCACAATGCTAAGACGGTTGGGGAGATCAAGCAGTTTGTTTCCCAGCTGCCCCACATGCAGGCAGCAAGAGGCTCACTTGCAAACCACACCTCGATTGCTGAGTTAATCAAAGATGTTACCAGTGAGTATCCTTTGGAGTGATGATTTTCATCGGGACTGACTTGCATGCATACTCTGATGCCAGGGTCACGGGCACCATGATACCTCCTTGGGAAAGACAGCTCTATTTGAACATTGTTTGTCATTCTGTGTTAATTAAGTGCATGCATGTTCATAGTTAAGTGTGTTTCATTTGTGGTTAACTCAGTTTTTCCCCGTTATTAATATAATCCTAAGACAAGATATTTGGAATAGTGATAAGAGAAAAAAAAACTCTTCTGTAAGTTTGCCACCATAACGAGGCTCTTTTTTTCTCTAGTTTTTTCCCCTCTTATTAAGGGTTCATCAGAGCAATGTGATGTTTCTGCTTTTGTTTTTGTTTTTCCCTTGAAAACTTCCTGCAGAATTGGTAGAGAGATCATATGTTGAGTATTTTGAAAGAGCTCAGAAGATGTGTATTAAATCAAAGACGAATTTATTCATAAAACATGGGTGCCGTGTATTATGAAGTCTACTTTGAATCTGAAGTAAAACATGGTGTTGGAAAATCAGTCCTTTGCTTTCCCGTTAATAGGAAGCAGTTAAAATGGGGTTGAATTTGATGATGATAGTGAAGTGCTAGGGAGATTAGCTTTCCCTGGTACCAAGGCTAAATTCTTGGGATCTGTGTTGAGTCCTAAGGACAGCAAAGGGGTACAGTGGCCAGCTGCATGTCGATGTAATTTAGGAGCACAGGGTTGTAGGGTTTTCCATGTTTTAGAAGATTGTTTTCAGATGACAGTTTGAGCCTCTTGCTTGCTTGCGTTTTTGTGCGTCTTGTTTCTTAATTATCTTCTGTGTAGAAAAGCACACTGCTCAAATCAACATTTATTTAATTTCTAAGTTGCAAATTTGCTAATTACATTTTAGCTTCTGAAGACTTCTTTGATAAACTAACAGTGGAGCAGGAGTTTATGTCTGGAATAGACACTGATAAGGTATGTGAACAGTAAAACTAGCAAATCACTGGTGATTTGTCAAACGTCAGATTATAGCTAGAAAAGCAACCGTGTTGATTCCCATGCCTTGCCGAGGCATTTTTAAGAGCAAGTGCAAAATGTGGAAGTCCAGATTTCTCCAAGTCATGGGTAGTTAGCATTGCTCTCCAGCCCCTGAAACCAACCATCTTTAAGGCCTGTCGTAGATAAATGAAGATATTTGCTTTCTGAGGGACCTGCTCATATAATTCCTGTAAATATCCACCTCTATTAATACATTTAAAATTATGCAATTTCTGGAAATTCCTATTTTCTAGAAAATCTATTTCCCAAGAAAGTTCCTATTACTTTGCGGCCAATAAATCGCTTCTATTATTGAGACAGACATGGTCACAGATGCCCCAGACATTCAAGAACCTCTCAGAAGGCTGTCTGCTGTGTTCAGACAGGCGGTTGCATTGTCTGAGTGTGTCCCCCACTTTGAAAAATAATCGTAAATACCAAGTTTGTTAGGCCCCCAAACTGGATGCTGGGATACATACCTATATATTTTGTTTCCAGATCAATAGTTACATTGAAGACTGTATTGCCCAAAAGCACCCGCTGATCAAGGTGTTAAGGTTGGTTTGCCTCCAGTCCGTGTGCAATAGTGGACTCAAACAAAAAGTGCTGGATTATTACAAAAGAGAAATTCTCCAGGTCAGTAGATTTCAAATTACTAATTTACCAAAGGAGGAAACATCTTTTAAAAAAAGTACAGCTTAAAGCTCCTATTTTGGTGTATTGTTTCCACTGTCTTTTAAATTTTTTTAACACCTAGAGGGGATTGTCCTTGGTATCCATCACTGTTTACTGTGGTTGCATAATAATAGTTAATGTTTATTGAGCATTTACTATGTACCAGGCTCTAGTGAAAGAGCTTTAATGTATTCTTTTGTTCAATCCTCACTACAGCCCTGTGAATTAGATACTGTTATCATCCCTATTTTATGGATGAAAAAACTGAGGCACAAGGTCGTTTTGTAACTTGCCCCTGGTCACCTGGCTAGTGAGTGGCAGAGCCAGTGCCAAAACCCAGGGAACTGGGGTCTGGTGCCCTTGCTCTTAACCAGATTGCATTTGATGGAGGAAGGGACCTTTTTGCAAATTTTCTGATGATAATCCCTTAGCAGACGTACATAAATTAAGCTTGTTTTACTTCACGATTAGGAAAAGGCCACCATTATTTAAAAAATTCTCTCCTCTGTTTGAAAATGTCTCAGGTAGTATTTACTTGCTACCACCAGCCATAGTTAAGTACATTGTTACTAAAACTAAATGCTCAAATTTTTTTTTTGGTATTTTAAAAAAATTACATAGGTAACACATGCATTCTCATCGTATAAGATTCAAATAAGGCGAAGCATCTGGAGCAACATGTGATCCTTCCTGCACCTCACTCACACCCCCATCGCCCTCCCCAAATAGGACCAATGGCAACAGTTTGGTCTGCTTCCAGACTCCCTTGTTTGCATTTACAGACAAAGAATATTCACACTCACAGACTGTGGGGTAAGACTGGCTGGATCCATGTCCCAGCTCTGTTACTAAGTAGCTGCGTGACCTTGGGCAAGTTATTTAAACGTCTCTGTAAAATGGAGATAGTAATACCACCTAGCACGCTGGGTTAGAATAAAGAGACTGAGTTAATGCACGTGTGACAGGCTTGCAACAGAACACTGCCCCCCCTCCCCCAGAAAGTGTTATGTAAGTGTTGGCTATTACTATTATTATTTACTGTATCTTTTTATTTTTATTTATTTTTTTAAAGATTTTTAAATATTTATTTGAGAGAGAGAGAGCACAAGCAGGGGGAGCGGCAGGCAGAGGAAAAGGGAGAAAAAGGCTCCCTGAGGAGCAGGGAGCCCGATGCGGGGCCCGATCCCAGGACCCCAGGATCATGACCTGAGCTGAAGGCAGTTGCCCAACCAGCTGAGCCACCCAGGAGCCCCTACTGTATCTTTTTTTTTTTTTTTTTTGAAGATTTTATTTATTTATTCATGAGAGACAGAGAGAGAGAGAGAGAGAGACAGAGGCAGAGGGAGAAGCAGGCTCCCCGCGGAGCAGGGAGCCCGATGCGGGACTCAATCCAGGGACTCCAGGATCATCACCTGAGCCGAAGGCAGTCGCTTAACCAACTGAGCCACCCAGGTGCCCCCCCTACTGTATCTTTTTAAAAATAGAAATAAAATCCTACTGTATAAAGTATTCTATTACTATACTTTTTGTCCTTAAGAGTATATCCAGGGGCACCTGGGTGGTGTAGCCGGTTGAGCATCCAGCTCTTGGTTTCAGCTCAGGGTGTGATCTCAGGTTCGTGAGATGGAGCCCCACGTGGGGCTCCATACTCAGTGGGGAGTCTGCTTGAGATGCTCCCTCTCCCTCTGCCGCTTCCCCTGCTCGCGTGCACACACACATACCCTCTCTCTCTTTCAGATAAATATTAAAAAAAAAAAAGAATATATCCAGATCTTTCTTATCGGAATGTATAGATCTGCCTCATTCTTTTTTTTTAAGTATCAAATTATATCCCATATAAAATATATATTAATTTATTTGATGCTCACTTAAGTTGGGTCCATAAATTCTGACTTTAAAGTAAAAACTGTAGGGGAGCCTGGCTGGCTCAGTCTGTTAAGCAGCTGCCTTCGGCTCAGGTCATGATCCCAGGGCCCTGGAATTGAGCCCCACATCGGGCTTCTTGCTCACGGGGGAGCCTGCTTCTCCCTCTGCCTCCCCCCTGCTTGTGCTCTCTCTCTCTGACAAATAAATAAATAAAATCTTAAAAAAAAAATAAAGTAAAAACTGTAAATCAGTCTTTGAAGCAGTGAGCTGGGTTAGTTGTAATGGGCAGGCAGGTCTCATCCTCCACGCTGCCCCTATGCCCCTAGGAAGTCCTTCCATGGATTTGGGTAACATGCCCCACAGTACATACTAAATCCATTTGTTGGAAGTGCTCTTTTTAGAAAGTGGCAGAAACTCTTCTCCTGATCTGACATCAATCCGAACGCCTTGTCTTGCAGACATACGGCTATGAGCACATATTGACCTTGTACAACCTAGAGAAGGCTGGCCTGCTGAAACCACAGATGGGGGGCAGAAACAATTACCCAACAATCCGGAAAACGCTACGCCTCTGGATGGATGATGTGAACGAACAGGTGAGACACACCCCTCCACTTCAACTCAGTTTACCTACTGGTTAACGGTTTATCGTGGCCACCTAGGCTACTTGATTTATACATCCACCTTGCCCTTTCTAGAATGGTTTTCTAATGTTTTTTAGAAAGTAATGCATTCACGTATCATATCTGCCAGAATTCCAGCAGGGAACAAAGGGCGCTCTGACGCCGGGGAGTTTGAGGGGAGTTTCTTAAGATGTGGGCAGGGTGGGAGCCGGCAAAAGGCCTGCAGTGGGGATTCCTTACCAGCCTGGGCCCGAGGGCAAGGAGAGGGAACTGTTGCAGAAACCTGTTCCAGAACTTGAAGAGAAGAGCTGTGTGGAGAGGCCATCTGACAAGACGAGGGATGAGAGGCCTCTGGTGAAGAGACACAGCCAGTCTCCATCAGTGTCACAGAGAGGAAGCTGGGGCTGTAAACCCCTGACCTCACATGCTGCCCACTCTCCAGTTTCCATCTCGTGCCTCCCATTGGCCAAACCCAAAGAGGGCGTGGGAGCACATTGGCATAGAGCCTACAGGTTTGCCTCCTGGACACAGAGCACGGGGAGGGGGACGGGGGTGGTGGTGAAGAATCTGGAAAATGTCCAGCACGTGTGGTAAAAATGTCGGCCATACAAAAATAAGGCAAACAGTGAAAAGTCAGGTTCCCTCCACATCTCAGCATGGTTTTCCCTCAGAAGGAACCACTGTAACCAGTTTTTTTAATCTATCCTTCCAGGAAGATTCTGTGAATCTGCAGACCTTTTAACATAAATGATGCATATTTTATACCATTGACTTCCAAAGTAGAGTGTACTTTGCCTTACATTTATTGTTGAGTCCAGTTTTTCTAAATTTCTTTTTCTTATTTTCTTTTTTAGACTTTCATAGGAACTTTATCAGGCTGCCTCCTGCAACAAAAGCTAATAATTAAAGTCTCCTCCACCAGTGGCAAAATCGGATTATCTCCCCCCCAGGGGTGGAATATAGAAACTCTTAATTTCTATGTTGTACAGGGTAAACAGTATACTAGTTCTCTTCCCTGTTCTGACCTGCCTCTCCCCACCCACCCTAACCACCACTTAATACTATATCTTGAAGATCCCTCTGTGATCTACCTCATTCTTTTTTGTAAGTTTTTTTTTTAATTGCTACATAGTGGTTTTGCAGATAAACCTTAATTTATGATTAACAGATTTCTCTTGATAGAAATTCAGGTTGTTTCCAGTCTTTTGCTAGAACAGACAGAGTTGCAGCTAATACATCTGGGCTTTGGTCTACTCTGGTGGACAAGCCCCTCTGTAGGAGAAATGCCTGGAAGTAGAATGACTGAGTTCAAGGGATACGCACGTTGTTGCTCAGCTAGAGAGTGCCGGCTTTCCCTCCAAGAAGTTTCTTGCCAAAGCAAATAACAGCATTTCATGGTCAGTACCTAGAGATGCTTTGAGTGGCTTTTGCAAGATCTGAGTTGAAAGTGAACCTCAGGCAGCTAAGAATCAGGCCAAGCTGGGGTGGATCGGAGCAGGACGTTGCTGGAGTTTGTGTTTCTGCCTTCAAAGCCAAATCACATAATTTTGGGTTACCCAGAAGGCCGCTGTTCAGGGGCTCTATGTCTCTGTATCTACACACTTTTCCCCCTTTAATTATTTAACAGAATCCCACGGACATATCGTATGTGTACAGTGGTTATGCCCCTCTCAGCGTGCGGCTGGCACAGCTGCTCTCGCGGCCTGGCTGGCGCAGTATCGAGGAGGTTCTCCGCATACTCCCAGGGCCCCACTTTGAAGAACGGCAGCCGTTGCCCACGGGACTGCAAAAGAAACGTAAGTCAGTGGCCAGGATCTATAGCAGTTACGCGCTGCTGCTGTGGTTTTCGTGGACTGTGCAGTTGCTTTGTAAAGTACATCTGTAAGGTACGCAGGACTCAGAGTCCCGTACACCTCTTTTGTTAGTTGCCAGTGTGTAGTGTAAGCACTAGAACCCATCATTCCCTCAGGAGTAGCAGCTTTCAACCTCGGGGTTGAGATCAAAATCATATTCCTGAGTTTCAAAGGAACTGTTTGTACCAAGACACAGTTAACTTTTTTTTTCTTATATATGATGCCATGTTTGTTTGTTTTTAAGATTTATTTATTTATTTTAGAGAAAGAGTGAGAGTGAGCAGGGGGAGGGGCAGAGGGAGAGGGAGAATCTCAAGCAGACTCCCCACTGGGCTCAGAACCCAACTCAGGGCTCGATCCCAGGACCCTGAGATCATGACCTGAACTGAAGGCAGACACTTAACTGACTGAGCCACCCAGGCGCCCCAGTGATGCGGGTTTTTTTTTTAAAGATTTATTTATTTTTAGAGAGAGAGAGGAAGAGAGCACACGTTCGAGAGTGAGTGGTGGGAGGGGCAGAGGGAAAGAATCTACAAGCAGACTCCTTGCTGAGCGCGGAGCCCAACGCCTGGGCTCGAACCCACGATCCATGAGATCGTAACCTGAGCTGAAACCAGGAGTTGGATGCCCAACCAACTGAGCCACCCATGTGCCCCCATGATGTAGTTTTTTAAGACATGGGAGGAGAAGCACCCATAATAATTCTTAATTCTGAAATGTTTCCCTTTTAGGTCAACCAGGAGAAAACCGAGTCACTCTGATATTTTTCCTTGGGGGCGTAACCTTTGCTGAAATCGCGGCCTTGCGATTTCTCTCCCAGCTGGAAGATGGAGGTACAGAATATGTCATTGCCACCACTAAGCTAATGAATGGGGCCAGCTGGATAGAGTCTCTAATGGAAAAACCTTTCTAGGCTGATCAAAGTCGACTTGAAAGAACTGCAAAATAAACTGCTCCTTTGGAGAAGCTGCCAAAAGGAAGTGAAACCCCACTGAAGAGTAACAGAAGAATACAGAATTTACTTCGGGGGTCAGCCTCTTCAATTACACTGTTTTCTCCTTTCTGCTTCTCTTTTGTGTTTCTAATTTCTTGAAGAAAAAGAATAGAAGAGAATCCACCTGGCTAACAGAAACACCAGTTGTTCATGTTCTAAGCTCAGGGTCTTCCTTAGAGACCTCTGGCAACGTATTAAGGATGGTGGGGATGGATAATCTTATACAGCTGCACAAATGAGGTCAGTTCTTAAAATAGGAAGGCAGAGACTGATGGGTAAAAATGAAAAATGGGAAGTCTAATCCCTAATAAATAGTGCTTTCTTGAAGGCACATCATGCCTGGGGCAGTGGCTGGGTGTTGGGGCAAGAGCTGGTCCTGTCACTGAGTTGAGATTTCTTTTTCCTGCAGAGTATGGCACATTATATTTGGTGTCCTCAGCCTCTGTCTTAGGTGATCACTAAGGCAAGTGTTGATTCCTTCTGCTTTCAATTCCTCTGCTTCTATAAAGCAAGAGGGGTGGAGGGACTTCTTTCTCCAAATCAAAGTTCATCTGACCAGCTAAATTTCCATGGGTCTCATACTTATCAAGGGCTTTTTACATTGAGGAACGTGAGGATTGGGGAGCAGCTTCCTGAGAATTTTCTTAAACACTATTCAAAGACACTTTCTGAGCACACGTGCTGTTCACTCCACGACGTTTCCATGGCAGATGCCTCCACTGAGGCGTCGGTTTTCTTCCCCACCCATCATGGGCCCCAGCACCAGCTGGTCCCACCGTGAACAGCAATGACTCTTGCTTCTTCAGCATTTGGCGACACCACCTCCACAGTAACTGTCGCATGTACTTCTCCACACTCAGCCTCTTGCATTTGTTTTGCTTGGAAACATACCGCTCCATTGCAGTCCCTGGTCTGGTGACCTCAGCCTTCTCTGGGACAGCTCATCGATGGTCTTGGAGTCCAGCAGTGCAGCTGCTCCTGCAGGAGACGGTTAGCCTGTGGGGCAGAGGAGCAGGGTATTGGTCGAGAGTCTGGAAACCTGCGTGTGTTCCTTACCTCCCTCCTGCTCCATCCTAATATCTGGAAGTTAAATCCAAGAAGGGGACCAAATGGATGGCTTTGTAGCCCTTGCCCAAGTCTCCCCTTTGTTGGGGGATCAAGGTCAGCATCCCTCCTCAGGGGAGGTGTGGCCTCTGTTGTTTATCAGTAACCACATGTTTTATTCTCATTTTGTTTCGTGAGTGAATTTCTGGTAGCACATTGCATGCTATGAGTGAAAGAGAAATTCTATAATCAAAAAAAGCTTTCTTTAAGAGTGAGGAGTAGAAGAGGTCATATTTAAGAGATCTGCTTCTCATGCATTCAATTTGGCCTTGACATTCAGTATTTGGAAAACGGTCTTTAAAAAAACTATGCCTATTTTAGAAAATCCTTTTTTAAATACTTGTTATTCCAGGGAGATTAGTTTATACCTTCCAGCCCCAGCTGTTGTCAGCCTCAGCCGCCTAGAGAATGAAATCCACCCTGTCCCTCAAATGTTTTTGGCTCATGGGATTCAATTCAAGTCTGGTCAGGTCTCCTTGGCTGGGGTTTTTGTCCTATGAACAGATACTCAGTTGTGTCTCACGTGTCTACATTCACTTGGGAATTTATACTTGCTTGCTCAGAGCATAGTTAGGTCAGCTCCTAAAATGCATTTAGCAGAAGACTTAAAAACATCAATTGCTTCATTTGTATGCAAATAGAAAGTGGTGGATAATTATATATTATACGCCTTTGTGTAAGTTCACTTAATACTTGAAGTGGCCTTTGTCTCGAAGGAGTATGCCCTTACTGAGAAAGGGTATGTGAATGGTACATTTATTCCTAGAGAGGGCGGATTGTTTACATCATGTCTGGACTTTTGTCTAGTTAGGTAGACAGTCCTGCCACACCGGCAACTCCATAAAAAAGAAGTCTATGTAGATAAAGAAGTCTACATAGGCACTGTTCTGTGTCTTACTATACACTTTTGAATTTAGCCAACAGAGAAGTATTTGAATTGTAGTTTAACTGTAGAGCAAGAGAATACAGGCATACAGAGAGATATTGTGGCTTTGGTTCCAGACCACCCCGATAAAGTGAATGTTGCAATAAAGCGAGTCAAATGCATGTTTTGGTTTCCCAGTGCATATAAAAATTATGTTTACACTATCTTGTAGTCTCCTAAGTGTGCAATAGCATTGTGTCTAAAAAAATGTATATTCCTTAATTAAAGAATATGGTTAAAAAATGCTAACCATCACCTGAGCTTTCAGTGAATTATAATCACTGATCACAGACCACCATAATCAATATAATAATAATGAAAAAGTTTGAGATACAAGAATTACCAAAATGTGACAAAGTTAGCAAACGCTGTTGGGAAAACAGCGCTGACAGACTTGTTCAACACAGGGTTGCCACAAACCTTTAATCTGTAAAAACTGCACTATCTGCAAAGTGCAGTAAGATGAGGTGTGTCTATAATGGTTAAAAGGAGGAATATTAGGGGGGTGGGAGGATGGGTTAGCCTGGTGGTGGGTATTTAGGAGGGCACATTCTGCATGGAGCACTGGGTGTTGTGCACAAACAATGAATCATGGAACACTTCATCTAAAACTAATGTTGTAATGTAAGGGGATTAACATAAGAATAAAAAAATTAAAAAAAAAAAAAAAAAAGAAAAAAAAAAAAATAAAAAATAAAAGGAGGAATATTAAAAGTAGCACATTTAATTCTTAAAGAGCACTGGGAAGGGATTGGGCACTCTAGCTCTACCCTCACTAGAAATGGATTACAGTTAACCGTGACATGCTGGTCCTTCTCTTGTTCTCAGTTGTACGGTAAAGATTGGCCTGTCGGAAGTGTTTGTGTTCAGCAGAAATTCAAGAAGAAATACTTTAAAAAAAAAAAAAAAACTACCAAATGAACTGAGTGTCTAAAGCAGCTAGGAAGAGGGACTGTGGTAAGGATGGCAAGGCGTAGAAATGCAGCATCATGTAGAGTGAATCATGGAGAGACTGAATTGTACTCTAAAGCCAGATGTGTTATACAGTCATAGGCTTACTGACCTGCTACAGAAAATAGAGAACGCCTTTTTGTCAAAGGCAAATAATGTAAACTTTCTCAGTTGCTCTTACTTCTAAATGAACACCTGTGAATTTTAAGCCACATAATGTTTCTTAGCTTCAGTTACTGTGTGGTAACTAGAGCCTGCAGAGGCTGGAATACCTAACTGCCCTGAGACATCCATTTGAAGGACGTGGGAGTGGAAGCCGACCGAACTGAGCCTCTCTTCTTCATCTGTTGCTCTGGGGTGGGGTGAGGGTATAAATCTTAGGCATACTTTCTTTCCTGTGACTAGGCAGGACATAGAAGCCCTTCAGATGACCAATTCTCTGGGGGAGCAATTACTACTCACTGGCTTCCTGAGCAGCTTGATAATGTTCTGCTCCTGTTTTCAGCAGGGCTGTGGCCGGGCAGTGATTTGATAATAACAGACCCTGATTAAATTAAAGAGCCATTTGCTTCTGGATGATGATGTTGATAAAAAAGGGTTGATGTCCACACTCCCTGCTATTTTAAAGGTCAGGAAAAAAAAAAAAAAAAAAAAAACCAAAAAACCCAAAACAAAAAAACCCAGTCTTTAATCACAAACTACAACAAAAAGCAAAATAATCAGAAACAGCATAAAGTTTGTGCTTTTTCTTCATTGTTACATCTGGGAAAGGGTCTGTTCTTTATTTGCTGAAATCCTAACTTGCTCTTTTTGCATCACGCTTGGAAGTTGAAATTGGAAATGGGCTCATTGGGAAGGTGACTGTACAGTGTATCTCTTAACTGCTAAACTCTGTCAGAATCAAGCACTCAGGAGCTCTTGGTTCTCTAAGCTCCTGTTTCTCACATACATACATGCATGCTCACACTTACATGTTTTTTAAGATAACAGCCCGTGCAGTAGTTGGACAGTCATAAGTGAAAGTCATTTGTACAATGGTTCTTCTAGTCTGAGACTCAGAGTAGGATGGGGCTCTTCAATGTGAGCTTGTTAGAAAAGGATTTGGACTGTATCCCACCCGCAGTGTTGAGAAAAGCAAGACAAGAAGGGGCATGAAAAACCCCCTAGTGTACCACTTGTTCAGCCCCTCTGAGTCAGGAGCTTTGCAGGCATCCTTAGAGCCTGTGGGCTGTGGTGGTAAAACAGGCAGGGTTGCCAGTGCCCTGCCTGGCCTGGGATGGGCTGTGCGCAGCTCCCTGATTGCTCAGGGACCACGTGGAGACTGTGATTGGTCTCTAGACCACACCTAGTTGGTGAGCGCAGCTGCTGCCTGAATATCCCACAGCTCTGCCTAGATCGCTGGAGTACGCACAAGCCTACCTTCAGACTCCAGACCAGGAGAGGAACCGGGGAGCTGCTGCAGCAGAGGAGTCGTGGAAACTTAGCTGAGTGAGTGAAATGGGGAGAGAAGGAAGCTAGTGGCTGGCCCTGAGGGAAGTTGCTGGACGGGACACCAATGGAGAGAAAGAGCTGGTTTGTGATTGTTGCCTTGAGATTCCGTCTGTGGTTGGAAGATAGCAGGACTGGAGCAGGTGCACAGGAGCCCAGTGCACCAGTGGGGAAAGAGAGAAGCCCAGAATCAAATTGATGCCCACCTCTTGGCACTCCTGCAATACTGGCTTCCCACAAGGGCAAGCGTGCTGGACCATAAGGCAAACATTTTCAAACTCTCCACGTTGTCAAGCCTTGGGGTCCAGGGAATTGCAGAGGGGCTTCAGTGAGGGCCTGCTGTCTTCTCGCACCCGAATGGGTCTCTCCTCTTCCCTTCCCAGGCAGCACCGACAGCTGGGGCTGCAGCTTGAGTGATGGGAAAAGAAAGCCTTACTCCACCAGGCCATTAGCAGCACTCACAGCATTAAAAATGCAGGAGGTGGATGGGAGGAGAGAGGGCCAGGGAGGAAGACTAATGCAGCAGCTGAGGCTGGGAAGAGACAGGCTTCTCTCTCCTCAGAACCCAGATCCAGATTAGGAGCCAAAGAATGAGGGGAACTTTTGGTTTAAAAGACTTCTATGGTGGAAATGCAAAGAGGGCGTCCAGCTGGTTGTTAGGGAGAAAATCAGTACTTTGGGCTTCCTCAGCCTTAGGACAGCGTGTTCACTCTTTTGAGGGGCAGGACCTAGCCTAGCTTCCTGTGTCCACATTGCCTACAGCACTCCTGGCTCAGCAGCGCTGGCTTGGTGGCCAGTGTTGGGGGGGTGGGCTTCCGGGGGACCGTCCTCTTTGCGCGCTCAGGGACTCCCCAGTGCTCTGCCCCGCAGGTCCTCGGGCCTCCCGCGCACGACGATGCCGGCCGCGTCCACCATCCACGTGCTGCAGCTGCTGCGAGAGCTGCTGGCCTTCGTGCTCCTCAGCTACACCGTGCTCATCGGGGCGCTGCTGCTGGCCGGCTGGACCACCTACTTCCTGGTGCTGAAGTGACAGCGCCCGCAGCCCCGCCCCCCGCCGCGCCCGCCTCGTGCCCACCCCCAGCCGCCAGCCCCACGGCGCGCTGCTCCGCCCCCGCGCCGGACGCGCTCCACTCGCTGGCGGAAGAACTCTGCGCCTCGTGCCCGGCCTAGGGCTGCCTCTCGAGGCACGGCCACGCCCGGGTTGGAGTCCAGGCTCCCCTCACGACGGCCGGCTCCGCTCCGCCCGCTCCTCGCCCTCAGGCCCAGGGCCCGCCCCGTCCGCGCGGAAGCCCCGGCCGTTGGGCGTTCGCCGCAGCCGTTACTGCCGTTATCCTAAGCCCCGTCCCCTCCCTCCGTCGCGTCCAATCCCGACGGCTCCTTCGGCCTGGGGTGTGGTCATGGGGCCAGGCGCGCTCAAGAAGAGGCCGCGCCCCGTCCTCCGCGCATGAAGGGGCGTCACTTCCGGCGTGTGCGTCTGGCGTCCGGCCGGCGCAGGATGGCGGCTCTGAGGAGCTGGCTGTCGCGGAGCGTAGCCTCCTTCTTCAGGTACCGCTGCGGTCGGGTACGAGGGCAGCGCCGCAGGAGGGTTGGCGCCGCAAGCAGCGCGGTGGCCGGGACGGCAGGCGCTCGTTTCGCTCCTCGGCCGAGCGGGCCGCGGCGTCCCGCCCCTCAGGCCCGAGGACGTCCCGGCTCTGCCTCCCGCCTCCCGCGGCCGAAGCGGGGGTTCATTTCTCACTGACGGCTTTTCCATTGTTCCGCTGGCTGAACGCCAGCCCTCCTCCCTCCCCAAGCTCGGGCTGGCTTCCCGGGGCGCCTCGGCCTGCCCGCGAGCTCCCGTTGGCCCATCGCCCTCACTGGAAGGGGATGGGGGAGTGGCCCGGCGAGCGGCGGGTTTTGAGAGGAAGTTTTCCCTGCGGGCGGGAGAGGAGCTGGTCAGCCCCGCGCGGCCCTGCGGGCTGCGGGTTCCCGGTGTGGCCTAGTGGGGGCCAGGGGGACGCCTGGAAACCTCGGCCACAGGTCCGGAGCTAAATGCTGCGTGCAGCAGTGTTTATTTGGGCCGAAGGTTTTTAAAAAGCTTTTAAACCTCCACACCTGTTACCGATTAAACTTCGGAATCACTGGGCCCGCCCCCCTGCGCGGCCGAGGTTCCCGAGAGTTGGGTAGCAGTTGGCCCCTTGCAGCGAGTCCGAGGCTTTCCAGTCCGACACGCTCTCCCCCGAGCCCTGACCCAGCATCTTCGTGTAGGCTCCTGCTTGGCCGAGTGTGGGTTTCTGACCCCTGCAAACAAATTGAAGAGGCGTACAGATTGGTAGTGACCGCCTTCCTAAATGTGACTTGTGTTTCTAGGTACAGGCAGGGTGTTCCTGTCGTGGCGAACTTGAAGAAGCGCTGCTTCTCAGACTTGATAAGGCCGTGGCACAAAACTGTGGCAGTTGGATTTGGTGTGACCCTGTGTGCAGTTCCTATTGCACAGGTAAAAATACTGTAGTGTCAGTGGGTGTTTCTTAGTGTACAGTGCCCTCCTGAAGTCTCAGCTGGGCAGCGAACCATCAGCTCTTCTGTTACCCAGGGCTCCCCCCCGACCCGCGCCATGGTTTACTTTCTCCTCCACCAGCAGCATCTTTTCATAGCTGAGCAAATATATTAATATTCCCATTTTTAATTGTCCCATTTGGTAGGAACAGTATGTCAAGGTGGTCAAATTGTATAAAGAGGGAGAAGAATAAGATGATATTACAGCCTATCAACAGAATAGTCTTTCATTCAACAAAAATTTATCGAGCAACTTTAATGTGCCATATGTTGGAAATGTAAGAACAAAAGAGAATTCCTGCTCTCATGAAACTTGCATTCTGGGGTGGGGGCGCCTGGGTGGCTCAGTCCGGTTAAGAGTCTGACTCTTATTTGTTTTATTTTTAAAGACTTTATTTATTTTAAAGAGCACGGGTGGGGTGTGGGGGGGTGAGGAGCAGAGGGAGAGGGACAAGAAGACTCTGCGCTAAGCACAGAGCCCTACCCCAGGCTGGATCCCACAACCCAGAGATCATGAACTGAGCTGAAACCAAGAGTCAGCAGCTCAACCTACTTGGCCACCCAGGTACGCCAAGCGTCTGACCGTTGATTTAGGCTCAGGTCATGATCTTAGGGTCGTGAGATCGGGCTGCATTGGCCCGGCGTGGGGCTCCACCCTGGGCATGGAGCCTGCTTAAGATTCTCCCTCTCCCTCTGCCCCTCCCCCCATCTCTCTCTCCCAAAAACAAAAAACAAAACCAAAAACAACAAACCCACATTCTAGGGAAAAGAAAGGGGAGAAAATAAATATAAAATGCCACCTGATGAGTGCTATGCAGGAAGCAAATAGGGTAAGAATATAGGGGTACTGGGAGGGAGTTGTTTTATTTTAGATAGGAGAGTGTGGTCCAGGAGGGCTACTTTGATAAGGTGATGTTTAAGTTGTGATCAGTATGATCTGAAAGAATGAGCCATGGTAATATCTTGGAGAAGAGTTTGCCAGGCAGAAGGAACTCTTGAGTGCAAAGGCCTAGAAGCAGGTGTGTCTACCTGATATGTTTGATGAACAGCAAAAAGGTTAATGTGGCTGGAGTGGAATGAGAAAGAGAGCATAATGGACAAAACCAGAAAATTAGCTGAGGCTCAAACGGTTTTGTCCTTTTGAGCCACTGTAAGGCTTTGAATTTTATTCTGAAAAGGAAGCCACAGAGGATTTTAACACAAGGCTGTTACCATCTCACATAAGGTTTTAAAGGTTGCTGTGTGGAACTAGGAAGACCAATGGGAGATTGTTGCTCTAGTCCAGGCTTGGAGTAGGCGGGCAACAGTGTAGGTGAGGAGAAGTGGACCAAATGTGGTCAGCATGAGTTGCTGATGGATTGAATGTGGAGTATATTTTAGGGTTTTTGAAAAAGCCTAAGCGCCTGAAAGAATGGAGTTACCATTTATTGGAGTGGAGGGGAAGTAGGTTTTGGGAGGATGAAATCAAGAGTTAAGTTTTGGAAATGACAGTCTAAAATGTCTAGTAGACATCTAGGTGGAGTTGTCACATAGGTGATATGAAAGTGGTACCTTATTAAAAAGATCACTGGTTATATGCTTCCTGAGAAAGAGCTCAATAGGAAATTAGCAAACCCCATTTTGGCAGAATATTTCTGATACTTATATGTGTGTTTATCGCAACAAGATCAATTCCAGGGGCGCCTGGGTGGCTCGGTTGGTTAAGTGTCTGCCTTCAGCTCAGGTCGTAATCTCGGGGTCATGATCTCAGGGTCCTGGCATCAAGCCCCGCATCGGGCTACCTGCTCAGTGGGGAGCCTGCTTCTCCTTCTGCTCCTCCCCTCCCCACTCGTGTTCTCTCTCTCTTAAATGGAATTGATCTTTTTTTTTAATCACAAATCTTTTCAGCATCTTCTGTGGCTTTCTCATGAGCCTGTGTCTTTTTGGTCCTCACACCAAACCTCATCTCTGCTTGTTCATAGAATTGTTAACCCTAAAACCCTTACTTGAGCACCAGGCCTTTTCCCGCCACAATTAGGATAGCCTTTCTTCTTTCCTTCAAAAGAAGTTTTTGGGTTTGTCCTTACTCAGTTCATACACTTGTCTTAAGCCTCAGTTACCTCAGTTCTGGGCCACATGACAGGAGCCTCAGGTCATTATCCTGTAGGAATGGCCGTTCCACTTCTGTTCTTCAGAACCTGCAGCGGCCCTCCGTTGTGTGTTGCAGAACTAAAACTCAGCCAACTCCCCCGTACTCCAGTCTCCTTGTTCTCTTACCTCCCTTGTGCTGTATCTGTTGGAACCAGGCCAGATCCCTGAATGTCCCCTGCATGCAACAGATGTATCTTTTCCTCATTATTTCTTCATCCCCAGGCTGCCTGACAGTTCTCATCCTAGCTATCTTCAGGCCCAAGTCCCACCTCTTTTTAAAGCCTTTCAGAGTTTCTGGCCAACAATGATCTCCCTCTTTCTGACCACTTGTGTTGTATTTTGATATTTGACGATTACACTCTCCTGAGTCAGCAGAGCATAATGGAAAGGGTACAAATGTTGACGAAGATGTGGTTTCAGGTCAAATATGTGACTTTTGGGGAGAGAATGTAACTATTCTGGGTTTCCATCTCCTCATCTGTAAAAAAGAAGTGATAATACCTGGGCTGTCATGAGGAACAAGTGAAAATGCACTGTAAAATGCATTATGGGTGGATCAGTCGGTTAAGTGTCCGACTCTTGGTTTTGGCTCAGGTTGTGATCTCAGGGTTGTGAGATCAAGCCCTGCGTTGAGATTAAAATAAAATGCATTACGAAGACATAAGTTAGAATATATCAAAATTAGCTTCCAATGAGCAGAAATAATACTCTCTTCAGTCTTTCTGTACCTTCAGTGCAAGGTATGTAATGAATACTTATTTGAATGGAAGATAAATATGGTAAGTAAAATTCTGGATTTGTTCATGTGTCAAAGATTTCTTGACTGCTACTTTCAGTAAGTGATTCTATGGGTTTATGCTCCAGCAAAAACAAGACTGCATATGATTAGAGGAATTGGTTTCTTTGTTCTGATACAATAAATGCTCTGCTGAGGAAGGAAAAGGCAGAGTCAGGGATGACCTGAAAGTAGAGCATTCCTATAAAACCTTTCATAATTCAGCATAAAGTGAAGACTATCTTTCCAAAAGTTCATGTTATGCCACTTTGCTTTTTACAAAAGACATTTAGTACAGTAACGGCTTTTTTCTCTTTGTAAACTTAAAAATCCTCTCCGGACTTCTTTTCGTTATTGAAATAAGGTACTAGTACAGTCAGGTATCTTAAGAGCAAAGAGACTTAGTGCAGACTTCCAGAAAGCAGGGAATACTTGAATTTAGTTAAGGCGGCCACATTTCCTTAACTCTTGAGATAGTTACATTGGGTTTTTTTTTTTTTTTTTTAACATAATAGCTGAGGTCAGAGTGAAGTGTCCCCAACCCCTACCCAAGACTGTACTGTTCATTCTGCTCAGAATTGCTCTCCCCCATCCACCCATTTACTTTCTTAGACTCAGCTTATCCCTCATCAACTCTGTGAAGCCTTTTTAAGCTATTTTCATTCAACATAGAAGTGATTGTTTTCTCATGCATGTCCCTACTTGTAGCTTGTACAGACTTCTGGGGTGCCTGGGTGGCTCAGTCAGTTTAGTGTCTGCCTTCGGCTCAGGTCATGATCTCGGGGTCTAGGGATCAAGC